GAGGCACAGAGATGCTAAAATTTGAAACTTTAACAAGAACTTATTTATACATCTACATAACTTTTTATATTTTGTTTTATACTATTTATCTTGTAATCATTTGTAACTTTGTAATTAAACACATTTTTTTGAGTTTTAGTCAAGAACGAAAGCAATGTTTCCTCTTTTTAAACTTTTCACCTTATGCTAGAAGAATATGAATATGGCATAAAAATATTATATTAAAAATCATATTCTACACTCCCAATCTGACAAGTGGTCAACAAATCTGTTACCCTCAATTGATATCACAAGAGATATGACTGCTATGTAAGCCTCCTCATCTACAAATATATCATTTGGTAAAGAGGGTTCAGATAGGGATGTCCCGATACTAGTATTGGTATCGGGGCCGGTACCAAGCATTTTCATGAGTACTTGTACTCGTAAAAATGCCTAGATTCTTAAGGCCGATGCCGGCCCTTTAAATTTTCGTTGGGTCCTCGGCAGCCTGCTGTGGACCTAGCAGTAGCTGTTCCTCTCTGGGTCTATACCTCCTCCTTCCCGGCACAGGCACAGCCATGGACAGCCCTACACACAGCACAGTACAGCCCCAGACACCAGCACCCATCCGATCAACTCACAGCCCTGCAGAGATCCACATGCTGCCCAGGTGAGATCGCAGCCTTCTGCTCTGTTTGGATGTATTGTGCTGCTGTGGGGGGATCATGAATTGGGCTGCTGTGGGGGGATCATGAATTGGGCTGCTGTGGGGGGATCATGTATTGGGCTGCTTGTCAGCAACCCTCACCTGCGCCAAATCCAGTTCTCTGTGATGTTCACAGAACACTTGGGCACGTGCGCATGACGCGTAGGAAAATGCGCCAAATGATGCACCGGAAGTGACACACAGGAAGTGATGCACTTAATCAGGTTACTTCCCTATTTAAACCCGGCCTGCACTCTTACAGATTGCTGGATTGTCTTCAGCCCTCCTGTGTCCCTGTTACCTGTCCCTGTGAATTGCCTGTCTCCTGGATTTTGACCCAATACCTTGCCTCGACTACTCTTGATTGCTGCCTGCCACTGACCATGGACTGAATACTGGACTTCTCTCTGCTTGATCCCTCTGTACCGTCTACGCTCTCGTGGTTTGACCTCGGCTTGTTTTGACCCTGTTTTCCGGATTACCCCTGCTCAGCTACAGAAGCAACCTTCAACTTGCACGGTATAACACCACTGGCACCCGTGCCACTCGCTATCCACCAGGTCTCTGTCTCCACTTCCAGGGGCCTCAGGACACGAGGTGCAAGGGAAGCCTCCTCACACGGTCAGTCTCCCATCAGGTACGTGATACTGTTGT